CAGATTTGATATAGAATCTGCTGCTGGTCACTGAAGATGTGGTATGCAGTTATGTGCTAGTCATGCTTCTTAAAAGAAGCAGAAGTAGGCTATTCAGCCCTTTTGGGTCTGATCTCTGTGTTCTAAATTCTACGTTCCCACCTGCACCTAGAATCAAAATTTGCTTGCCAGCAGGAATTTAATCTAATTCCATCTTAAAGTTATGCTTTTGTTATTAATTATGTTTTAATAATGTCCTGTGATTAGCCTTTTTATTGCTAAAAATGGAATGGTGGTAAACCACGTCCAAGATAGAAAGGTGAGGATTATGTAGAGATAGGTACCAATTTGAAATTAAGGCTTTCAAATAACTTCACTCAGCCTGGATTTTTAGCTCCTATGAGGAGTGGGAACACAGGCGTGTGAGCAAGGAATTTCATGTTAGCAGTGGATTTCTCCATTCCACCTGTGGGCTGTTTACTCCATTTTCTGAAAAGTGGAATGGATGTGGGTGGTGTTGGCAGGGCGGCTCACCCAATTGAGTTGCTGTTGGGCCTTTTAGGATCTGTTGTCAGAGGCCTAATGGAATTTTCAAGTCAGCTCCTGGAGCTTCCTGGAGGCAGCGGGGGTGGTTTTGATACCCGAGTTGGCACCCCAGCAGCAGACTTGGGGACCGGTGTTTCTCATCAGGTTTGAGGCATTCCCAACCTGCCCACAAATTTGGGTTTGAAAGTAGCCACTGGCTGTCATGTGGTGTGACCTTTCCTCCATAGTCTCCACAATAGTGACCCAGTTCCAAAGGCCTCTCTTCTTTCTTGTTTAGTTTTAAAAAGTTTGAGAGCCTGCCTCCATTTTGAAGCTTATCTATTATAACATCCCATTACTGCTTTTAAACTAGAGAGATTCTTCAAGGCTTTCGAACTTTGAGAGCTGACTCACTATCCTGAACTGGACTCTAAGCCTGTCCTTTGGGCATTAATTGGACATTTGGAGTGACACTGTGTGTTGCTTATGGAGTGCTGGCTTCTGCTCGCCACTGTTTAAATTTGACGGTGAGGTCCAGTAGCTTGCAGAAAAATTGTGCGCCTGAAATCTAATTTGTGGTCAGCTTTGATTTTTATCCTTGTAATTCGGACAAGAAATTATTTACGTGATTAACGTTTCTTAGACCAGAATGGAAGTTAAGTGCGTATGCTTTCCTTTGATACAAGTACAGATTTGTAGTTGCATTATAATTGTTCATTTTGTACACTCTCATTACAATGCGTACAGTAGCTTTAACGTTTAGAATTTAGAAAGGGAGCCACTTTGCTCACAAATTTGGCTGAGCCTTACTTTTTATCATGAATATGTCTCCCAGTAATCACTGGAAAATTATAATAATGCTTGCTATTTATTGGGTCTAATCTTAGAAAATCTTTTTCAGCATACACACTTCCATCGATTAATACCTATCATCTCGAGCAATTGTGCATCGAAATCTGTGGCAGTGCGGAGGTAGGTTTCGAGTTGTGTTGCGTATCTTAACTGTGTTTGTGTGGTACTGATGAAATGGAAAATCCAGCATGGTTTCAACCGTTTTGGGGCCGAAGAGTGAAGGATAAAAGAGTTACATGTTGGTTGTGTTCTTGTGTGCCACTCATTTCAGTGCCAGTTGAGACCACCTTCAAGAGTTCAGATCAACTGGCCATTTAGACGTGAGCTACCTTGCATATTTAAATCTTTATTTACTGCAGATTGTGCAGAATAGGCAGAAGGTCTTTCCGCAGTTGTTTCAGGTTTTGGTTAGCCACACCATCATTCTGCCTTGACATTATTCTCCAAGCTGTTGCCATTCCCAGCCTTGATCAACTCTGCTTTACCTATCTATCCCTGTCAAAATCTACCTACAGATCACCTTGGCTTTGGAGCCAAATGGAATTGGTCAATCTCTGCTCAGTGAGCTCCACAGACTGTCTGATGGTTGACCATTTTATGCAAGTCAGATCCAAGACTAGATTCGATTGCTTCTCTGGCTGCTAGGCCACATTGCTGCCCATTTTGGGCACAGATCCAATTTTATTGGCTTGTGCTACATATTCACTTATTAATTTTGAAGAGCCTTTGCAGACTAAGACCAGATAGAAGAGGAGAGTTGTGTTTTTTAAAATAATAAAACATCTTTGTTTGGTTGCAACAAATATTTTTAATTCTTTTTAGCGTTCAGGAATATTTCATTCGTCAAAATTTAGAAGACAGTTACAACGTTTTCATGAGTGAAAGAAAGAGGAATTTTATTACTTACTCACCCCAAGAAAAATAATAAAATGTGACCTCAAACACTAAAATGAATATGATGTTTATGAAGGAGAGAATCTCCACTACAATAGGAAGATTACAACTATGCAATATGTATTTCCAAGCAGAGAGTTCAGATCACATGATGTCAGGGCTGTCTTTGGCTGGCTGTCATTATGTTGAGAAAGGATCAGCAGCCTTCCTGGATGCCAGTTATGCTCTTAATTTATAAAGTTAAATTTTATTGGTTTAGAATTTGTTGACATTTGAATCTTCAAACTTCTGTCTCTGATTTTAGTGATTAGGCATTTGCTTTTTGAATTTGAAGACCTTGATCAATTCTTATTATTAATTCTTGTCAGAATTAAATAACGAGTGGGATTGAAAATGCTTTCCTTTGGCTAATTTGTTGATAAATCTCAAATTTCTTCAAGTCAATCTTCTAATAAAAGCTAAAATTTTTAATAAGAAACTGAAGTGTTCCAGTTTTGTATTTAGATATCTGTTTAAATTTGCATTCACAGTAATGTTTTCCCTTTTTGTGCAATTTATTTCATCATGATATTAGACTCCAAATCATAAACACCACACAGAAAAGGTTTAATTCAAGTCTTCATTTTTCAAGTGATATAACTGATGGCCATTTGTCAGAGCAATGTGTCCATTATAGAGAATAATTTGCAAACATCTGATGCAGAACATATCTTCTTTGCCTTCGTGGAGAAACTTGGTACCATTTACCTTTTGTTGAATCATCTTGTTCACAGTGTTGTCATGGGATACTTTACTGTGCGAGACATTTCTTATGTCAATTTGTTCTTTCTTCTAACTGTGAATATGGAGTTTTTCACTTTCTGCACTAGTATTCTTTTAATGATTTAAACATTTAAAAAAATATTCCCACTGTATTTCCAAGTTTTGACCTTTTACATTTACCTCTTAAGTACTAAAATAATGGATTGGATCAAATTGTTTCACTGAGCTGAATTTCATTGCATGAAAGGCTTTCATACCAGTTCACACTATTGGAAGACTAGCTATTTAATTCAGAATGCCACTGAAGGGAAGGCTGATACTGAGGAGATTAAAATAGCTTCAAGTTTATTATGTGGATGTTGCGTCATATGCATAATGATTTCAATCTTTCAATGTGTCAACAGTGTTCTGCCTCTTGACCCCTTAGATATAAGCCATAGATGTTTAAAAGTATAAAGAAATTTTCAAATTTCTGGTACAGGTTCAAACATAAGTATATCATGCAACAATTACATAGCATAAGAAGAGATACAGGCAAGGTTCCACACTTGGAGGAGGCAGAAAATTAAGTTTCAAATCACAGACCAATCATGGAAAAAAGTGAATCTGAAAAATTCCTCCAACTCTCTCCTCAACCTTCATCAAAAATATTCCAATTTAGAAATCAGTTTCAGGGTCTTCTCTGTACCCCTTCTAGTATCATCCAGCTTGTGAGGAGACCAAGGGAACATATAGTAATCCAGAGATAGCTTGAACTTCAGATGCTGGAGTCACAGATAACACAGTGTGGAGCTGGAGGAACACAGCAAGCCATGCAGCATCAGAGGAGCAGGAAAGTTGCTGTTTCGGGTCGGGACCCTTCTTCAGAAATGGGGAGGGGGAAGGGAGCTCGGACATAGAGAGAGGAGGGTTGTGGCTGGGAAAGGTAGGTGGGATGGTGATAGGTGAATGCAGGTAGGGAGTCGTGGGGGTTGTGTCAGGTGTAGGAGGCGGGGATGAAAGGCAAGGTTGGACATGGGATGAGGCCAGGGGGATAGGGAGATTTTAAAACTGGTGAAATCCATTTTAGGCCATTGGGTTGTAGGCTCCTGAAGCAGAATATGAGGTGCTGCTTCTCCAGTTTGCGAGTGACATCACTGTGACACTGGAGGGGACCCAGGATGGACATGTCACCCAGGGAGTGGGAGAGGGAGTTAAAATGGTTGGCGACCGGAAGGTGTTGTCGTTTGTTGCATACAGAGCGCAGATGCTCTACAAACGGTCTCGGAGTCTCTGCTTGGTCTTCTCACCCAGACCTGTATGCAAAGAGGCATCCTGTGATCATAATAGGTGCTATATAAGTGGAAGGCCTACTTTATTTCTTTATTGGAAAGTTCATACTTTTTCACTGCAACTTGCAGAATACAACATCAATAATGAACTAGGTTTCCTCGTGTGCGGTGAAATGTTACATTGAAAAATGTAGTTACTTTGCATTTTAGCTAATATAATGGGGTTTAAGTTATAAAAATAGGCTGGATAGACTGGAACTGTTTTCACTAGAGCGTAGGAGGTTGAGGGCTGACCTTTATAGAGGTTTATAAAGTCATGAGGGGTCAGACAAGGTGAATAGCAAGGGTTTTTTTCCCTCTGGTGGGGAAGTTCAAAACTAGGGGACATATTTTTAAAGTGCAAGAAGAAAGGTTTAAAATGGCCGCTTTTTAAAAGACACTGAGGGACGATTTGTTTTTACAGAGTAGTTCATGTGTAGAATGAACTGCCAGAAGTAGTGGTTGGATGCAGGTACAGTTACAACATGTAGAAGTCATTTGGATAAGTACTGAATAGGAAATGTTTGGAGGGATATGGGCCAGATGCAGGCAATGGGACTGGTCTAGTTTGGGAACATGGTCGACCTAGACAGGTTGGAACGAAACGTCTGTTTCCATGCATTATAATTCGTGTCTCTAAATGGATTTAAATAGTAAATGCTCATAAGTTATACAATTACAGCAAATGTGTGAGATATTCTTATTCATTCTCAGGCTATAACCTGAAACATAATCTATGATAAACAATTTCAGTTTTGAAATGTTACAAAAATAAAAGATGAACATGTATTAAAGTTATTTGAAATGTTTATGTAATGACTTTATCACATGACAATATTCCTATTATTCACAAAATTCAACTTGTTGGACAGGCGTTCATTTGAATTTTTGGATCGGCTGCTTCTGGAATGGCAAACACACTCACTAGAAAAGTAAGTAAACGGTTCAAGGGGTTTTTCTATGAAATAGGGTGTAAATATTTTTTGGTTGTGACTAAATGTAGATTAAAATGGAAGCAACCTTTTGAACTGCATCGTACAACAAAGCAAATGAGACCTGAACGTAACTAAATAGTAGAGTCATTGGTCATGATTAGAATTGTAAGTACTTATTGTCAGACAAATAGATTATTGAAAAAATATATTCTTCAGACTAGTGGGCAACTTGGAGTTTTAAAAAGTTTAAATAACACAAGTGGGAAGATCATTGAATGTGGTAGCTATGCTGTTTCCATAGTAATCAAGGGAAAGCCTTTGAAAATGTATTCTCAGGCTTATTTTCCTCATTTTGTTTTCAGAAGCTGTGGGAGATGAAACTGAAGTTGGGAGGGATTATGCTGCCTGAGCGTAAATGTAATGATGGTTTATTCTGGATGATAATTTTCTTAATGAAGTGGGACACATGAAATGTTAGTTTTCAGATGAGCGTCTTGTTATAATATTGTTTTCCTGTTTTGTTAGACATGTAACACTTTTGGCTGAAACAATAAAGAAAGGGATCCATGATGCAGATTCTGAAGCAAGACTGGAAGCTCGAAAGTAAGTTGTTTGTCAGTATGAATCTTTGCAGTATATAAAATCCATTTGATTTCTTCGCCATTAGTCTGTTAAAATCCAAACATGAACAAATTGAATTACAATTGCCAACAACATAGATCATTTTATTCCTACTTTGTTCAAATTTATCTTCTGTTTTACCTATGTTTTAGAATGTTATCTCTGTCTGAGATTAAGGCACATATCCAGGAATTGAAAATATGGAACACAGACATGATTAGTCCTGCAGGCTGATTACCATTGTGAATAGCTCAGAAGTATTTAAATATTGGTGCTGTTTTGTTTCTTCTTCTCTTGTTATACAGGAGAGACTTACTAGGGATTGTGATGTTTTCATAGATGTGTCCAAACTATTACCTTCTGACTAACCTAAGATTAAGATCCAAAATCCCAATTTCTTGATCAGGCTGCCTTTTTTCCCTCTCCTCATTTGATCATAACAGATTTTTGTTGTTGAAACTAACCTACTTGCCAATACTGCACTTCTATGCGTGCTGAATGATAAAGAACACAGTCAGGAAGGTTTTTTGAGACTTCAGTAAACATAGGAGAGTTGTTATTGGAATAACCAAGTGAAGGTACAAATAATAAAATATTTTGAGTTCTGCGTGCACACACAGAGATTATGCAGTAGGGAAGGTTAAATTAAGCAGATTAGAGTCCATTAAAATTAAGGAGGTATTCAGGGAAAAGTTTGTGGAGGTTGGTGACTTTGCAGCATTCAGGCTGAGTTTAGTCAGCCTACTGCTTTCAGTTAAAGGTCCTGATGCTTCCTGTCTTAAGGCAGTTTAAGGATGCAGATGGATAATTTGTCTATTCCTCTGGAGACTTCATGGCGGTTAAACTTTTTTCCAAAATCTAAAAGCATTGCGTGCAGCATCTGAAGTAGTTGCAATCAGCAGACAGGATTCAAAAACTTACAATGCGATGTAGGCAAAGTACTACAGATCACGGGATCCTGGGACAGATTTAAAGGTAATATTTCAAGTCTAATTTGACTGTTCTTCAAAAAAAGACGTGATATGTTACCTTTATTTCTCTCTCCAAAACCGCTGTCAGACTTGCTTAGATTTGTGAGAACTTTGTTCTCGTTTTAAAATCTCACAAATTAGATATAGAGATGGAGAAGTGAGGGAACCCGCTCTGGGGCCCTGGTTTTCTGGTCAGGGTGGAGGAAATCCCAGCTCCACAAACCCGACTTCTGAAAATGGGGCCCAGTATATCTGCTTTTTGGTCCAGCAGGTGGACTGGATTGACAGTTACACTACGTGACCTGGCAACAACCTAATGAAAAACCAGTTTCTAAAGTGAGTTAGGTAGCTTGCCAAGGGTTTGAACGTGTGTCAAATTTGAGCCATAGTCATACAGCGCGAAAACAGACCCTTGGTCCAACTCATCCATGCTGACTTAGTTTCCCAAACTAAACTAGTCCCATGTGCCTGCGTTTCGCCCGTACCCCTCTAAACGTTTCCTATTCATGTATCTGTCCAAATGTCTTTTAAATGTTGTAACTGTACCTGCATCTACCACTTCCTTCGCAGTTCATTTTACATATGGACCATCCACTGCATGAAAAAATTTGCCCCTCAGGTCCCTTTTAAATCTTTCTTCTTTCACCTGAACCTCCTGTACTCCAGTGGAAAACATTTCAGCCTATCTATGTAACTCAAACCCTCCATTCCTGTCATATTGAATGGTGGAACAGGCTCCGAGAGATGAAGGGCCTATTCCTCCCACTTTCTGTTTCTGTGTTAGTATACCTGGGATTAACTTAATGAACCTACTCTTGATTGCCTGCAGTATATCTTCCCTTAGTTAAGGGGACCAAACTGTTCATGGTATTCGAGGTGTGTCGGTCGAATGCTCTGTATAGTTTTAGCAAGACTTCCCCATTTTTGTTCTCTTCCATTCTTCTTGAAACCAAGGGGCCAACATTCCACTTGCCTTATCCTTATTGCCTTCTGAACTTGTATGCCAGCTTTTTATGATACATGCACAGGATTACCAAATTGTTTTGTGATGTAGCTTTCTGCATTTTTTTTCTTCTTTTAAATAATATTCAGTTCCTTTATTCTTCCTGCCAAAGGGCATACCCTCACTTTTTCCCACATTATATTCCATCTGCCAAGTTTTTAACCTACTCGTGAAACCTGTTCATAATCCCTCTGCAGACTTTGTGTGGCATCTTCAGCACTTGCCCTCCAACCTATTTTTGTGTCATCCTGGCTAAATTACATTCACTTTCCTCATACAAGTCATTAATATATGTTGTAAATCATATGGTCCCAGCTCTGATCCCTGTGGCACTCCACTCATTTCAGGTTGCTATCCTGAAAAAGTTCACCTTATCCCAACTATCTGTTTTCTTTTAGTTATTCAATCCTCTATCCGTTACTTCTCACACTTGGAGCTCTTAACTTAGTAAGGAGCCTAATGTGCTGTGCGTCATCTGGAAATCTAAATATATTACATCCATGGCTTCCCCTTTATCCTGCTTGTTACCTCGACCAAGAATTCTAATTAAATTTATCAGGCGTGATGTTTCTCCTTCATGAAGCCATGCTAACTCTGCTTGATTATGTTGTATATTTCTAAATGAAAGGCTGTAACATTTTCAGAATAACAGATGTTAAGCTAACTGCCCTGTGATTGCCTGTTTTTATTTCTCCTTTTTTGAATAAAGGTGATACATTGTCGGTTTTCCAATTCTCTGGCACTTTGTCAGAATCTAAGGATTCTTGAAAGATTACTAACAATGCATCCACTGTCTTTGTTGCTACTTACTTTAATAATCTACATTGCATCCCATCATGTCCGGGGTACTAATTGGTCTTTAGCCCCATTAGTTTTCTTAATACTTTACCTCCATTGAGTTGTGAGTGTTTGTTTATTTCTTTTCCCCCTTTTGCCCGTGATTATTCAATATTTTTGGAATCCTATTAGTGTCTTCTGCCATGAAGACTGGTGCAGGATATTTATTCAAATCCTCTGCCATTTCCTGGTTCCTCATTATTATATCTACAGCCTCATTCTCTAAAGGTTATGCGTTTACTTTTGGCCTCTGTCTTCCAAATTATATATTTAAAGAATCTCTTGCTGATTGTCTTATTATTTGCAAGTTTGTCCTCAAAGCTTATTTTTTCCCTTTATAATTTGCTTGAACCATAATTTTTGGTTTTTAAAAGTCGCCCACTTCTCTGACTTACAATGATAAAACTAAAAACTGCTGATGCTGGAGATGTGAAACCAAAATAGAAATTGTTGGACAAACCCAGCAGGTCTGGCAGCAACTGTAGGGAGAAAGAAGAGTTAACGTTTCAAGTCCAGTGACACTCTGTCAGACTAATGACGAGTCACCGGACTCAAAATGTTAACTCTTTCTCCCCCACAGATGCCACCAGACCTGCTGGGTTTCTCCAGTGATTTCTGTTTTTTGCCTCTGACTTATCATGAATCTTTGCTACATTGTATGTTTTCCCTTTCAGTTTGATGCTATCCTTAACATCCCTGGTTATCCGTGGTTTGCTTATTTCCTTCTTCGAATCCTTTCTCACTGGGATATGTTTGTTGTGAGACCTGAACTGTTTTCTTTAATATCTGCCATTGGTTCTCATCCATCTTTGCTGCTAAACGTTTTTCCAAGTCCACTGTAGCTAGTTTTGACCTCGTTCTTCTGTAATTTCCCTCAGTTAAGTTGGGCATAGTGTTTCTGACCAAAGTTATTTCCCCCTCAAACTATATGTTAAATTCTACCATGTTATGGTCACTGTTTTCTTGGAGATAATTTGCTGTCAGATCATTTATTAAACCTGTCATATTACATATCACCAGATCTAAAATAGCCTGTTCTCTGGTTGGATCCACAGGCATTGTTCATGGGAACTGTCCTGAATACACTCTGAATTCTTCTTCATGGCCACTTTTGCCAATCTGACTTTCCCAATCTACTTGAAGATTAAAATCAGTCAAGATAAATGTACTGTCTTTTTCACGATTTATGTGCGGTCCTATCACATAACTATTATTGAACAGCCTATAGACTACTCCTGCCACTGTGTTGTCTTCCCCTTGTTATTTCCTATCTCCACCCTTATGGATTCTACATCTTCAGATCTAAGACATTTATGTTGTAGAGATCTGAAAATCAGTAAATGACATTGTGTTTTTGAATAAACAGTTCTACTTCTCAAACTTGTGTTGAATTAGTTTATGTATTTCTGTTCATGTTTTTGTCCACTTTTTAAAAAAAGTAAATCATTTCTCCATTTACTGATGTGCACCACTACCCACCCAAGAGAGCAGGGAGGTGGTTATCTCCCTACTTCTGGCAATGTGATGGTTGTTAGCAATGAGACAGCCTGCAGGAGCCTTCTAGATGACTCCTGTGCTAAAGATTCTCTCCTTCGCTTTATTGCCACAGGCAAGTTGGATCCTTATAATTTGGCAAATAACAAGTGTGGTTGTGTATCTCATGCCAAGAGGAAGCTCATTAACGCATCCTATATAGTTGTTTTTCTTTTTGTCAAAGAGCTAGAATTCTCCACAATGGGAGTTTGTTTATAGAACTAATGTAAAAACTGTTGGCTGCAGCTTTTTGGCTAAAAAATTTATTGCTATCTGATCTTTCCTAAACTGATGTTTTATTTGATATGTAATTGTCACTTCGATATGTAGACTATATGCTGACGTTTTATAGCCTTCTTGATACTACGTTGAGTTTGACAGCTTCAAGCACGAGCCAGGTCCTTTTTTCCTTTTGCATATTTTGGTTTTTCTTCTTTTTTGCTGTCCGACAGCAACATGCCTGCTTAGGCAAATACTTTGTTTCTCTGACTCTCTTCTTGCCTCATCATGTTTTGGCCTTTCTGTGTGGTCCTGTAAAACTAACTTCTGTTATTCAATCTTTTATGTATTCCACCCAATCACACACCTTCCTTTGTCCTTGTCCCAGCCAATCTTGCTCAAATATATTGTATCTATATTGTCAGTACATCTACCACTCTTGCAGAGCAAGCCCAATGGACTGACTGACCTATTTTGACTTCTACTCCTTATGATTGGTCCCTAAATTTTAAGTTCTAATGAAAGATCAACAACCTGAAATGTTAAGTCTGTTCCTATCTCCACAGATGCTGCCTGACCTGCTGAGATGTTCTAGCACTTTGTTTTTATTGCAGTATATGCTGATTCAGTATTCACCTGCTTTTCATTTTTTAGAGTATATTGGGATTTTCACAGTCACTTCAGTAGAGAAGCTGAAATATTGTTTAATTCATTGGAACCTGCCTATCAGAAACCTCTCCAGTCTCATTTGAAAAACTCAGACAGCATTGTTTCCTTGCCACAATCTGATCGCTCATCATCCAGCTCACAAGAAAGCCTAAAGTAAGAACTATGGTATACTTGAATTCTAAGCTTAACAGTACAATATTATAGCTGTGTCTGCAATTTGTTTACTTTAGCTGTTCTTATAATGTTGGCTAATTTGGTACAAGTTAAATTACTTCTTATTTGCGTAATTATGAACAAGTGGGATGATATTTTGTCAACTCACATTGTGTTGTTCACTTAGTGGAATTTGAATTCTGTATCTTAGAATGGGCAAGAGTTATATATCGTATTAGTATGTTGAACCTATTGGACTTGATTGTAATATGTGTCTTTTTCTAGTCGCCCCCTGTCTACAAAGCGCAGTCCTACTGGAAGCACTGTATCACGAGGTAAGAGGGGACCCTGTTTTTGTTTTTTTTTAAATTTTCATCAATCAGCATAAAATGAACTGGCGTGGTATCTGAAACAATGGAAGCAATCATTCCAAACCACAACTTGCTTTTGAGGAAAATGATTTTCATGTTCCCCCCCAACACCCACCCAAAAAAAAGTTGCCTTCATAGTTCCCATTCTGTCCCCAATCCATTGCTCACTCTTCATGGATTTCTAGTTTGACAATAATTTGTGAAAGCTAGGATTTCCTCCCAGTGATGTGCTGGATATTTTCAGGTCCTGCCAACAACTTTAAGATTGATTCAGATATCCTCCCAACTTGCATGAGTCACCTTTAGGGGACAGTTTAGAACAGTTCAATTTGGTTGAACTGGTCCAATTAAAAGTTTTGTGTTAACCCCTTCAAACTGAGTGGTATAATTGTTTCAAGCTTGACATTAGATATGTTGTCAGGTTAGACTAAGCCACCAAGTTTAAAAAATAATGTAAAACTTTGTTATCAAAGGAGATCATACACTCAAAAGCTAAAGGCTGTTTAAGCAAAGAAAAGACATAAAAGTTGCACTTATCAGAAAGATCAGACAACTTCTTATTGATTTTGGATTCCCATTCATGAACTGCAAAGCCTCTTCCTCCCTTGAGACAAAGCACTTTTTAATTTTCACACTGTCAGATAAAGTCCCTGACTATCTGTCTCTTCTGGCTGTTTCCTATCTCAAAATGAAACACCCCAAGTTTTCATGTTGTCAGAAAAATTACTGATTGACTGCCTAAAAGCAAGTACTATTTTTTTTGCTTGATCTAATACACAGGCCCACCTCACCGCCCTCTGTTTTATCTGGAAATCCTCTATACGTGCATGCAAAACATAGTATTCACATCTTGCATTCTCTTTGGGATCAAACACTTCCCCTTAATTAGAGTTGTTAATTCAATTTTCTTGTCGTAATAGTTTAATTTAATTTGACCCTTTTATATCTCTGTAAATTACTGTAAGTGTAAAATAATGAAACATTTTCTCGTGACTGCACTAACTGTTAGAATGGATGTGTGTTTGTGTTTCACAGTGCAAGGGCAAGGTTTCTGATAAAATCGAGGTTTTCTTTTCACAAAAGGTTAAGTCCTAAGAGCTTATGGTGTCAGAGGTAATATATAGGCGTGGATAGAAAATTGGCTAATGGACAGAAAAGAGTGAGTGGGGAGAAAGGGTTCTTTTTCAGGTTGGCAATCTGTGACTAGTGGTGTTCCATAGAGGTCAGTGCTGGGACTGCAACTGTATATAATATATTAATGACTTGGAGGAAGGAAGTGAATGTACTGTAGCCAACTTTGCAAATTACAAAATAGGTGGAAAGGCAGGTAATGAGTGGGATACTAATAGTTTATGGAAAGATATTGATAGCTTAACTGAGTGTGTAACAAGTTCGCAAATAGTGTATAAAGTGGGAAAATGTGAAGTTGTTCATTTTGGAAGAACAGAATATTATTTAAATGGGGGGGAAAAAAATACATTGGGTTGCAACACAGAGGCACCTGGGGTACTTAGAGAGTCATACAGCACTTAAACAGACCTTTTGGTCTAACTTGTCAGTGCTGACCAGATGTCCCAACCTGACCTAGTCAAATTTGCCAGCATTTGGCCCACATCCGTCTTAACTCTTCCTATTCATGTACCCATCCAAATGAGTTTTAAATGTTGTAATTGCACTCGCCACCACCACTTCCTCTGGCAGCTCATTCCATCCATGCACCACTCTCAGTGTGAAAAAGTTACCCCTCAGATCCTTTTTAAAATCACCTCAAACTTATGCCCCCTAGTTTTGAACTCCTCCACCCTAGGATAAAGGTCCTTGGCTATTCATCCTATCCATGGCCCTGGTGATTTTATAATCTCTGTACGGTCACCCCTTAGCCTCTGACAGTCCAGGGAAAAAGCTCCAGCCTATTCAGCCTCTCCCTCTAACTCAAGCCCTCCAGTCCTGGAAACATTCTTGTAACACAAAACACAGAAAGCTAGCAGATAGGTGCAGCAGGTAATCGGGAAGGCTGGTGGAATGTTGGCCCTTATTTCAAGGGGGTTGGAGTACAAGAATGGGAAACCTTACTGCATCTGTACAAGGTGTTGGGGAGACCCCATCTGGAGTACTGAGAGCAGTTTTGGTCCCTTTATTTCAGGAAAGACATCATTTCATTTGGAGGCAGTTCAGAGAAGATTCACCTAGGATGAACCCTGGTATGGAGAGATTGTCTTATGAGCATAGGCTAAACATGTTGGAGACTCTACTGACTGGAGTTTAGAGGAATGAGTGGTGATCTCATTGAAGCATGTCGGATTCTTAAAGGGCTTGACAGGGAAAATGTTTAGAAGATGTTTCCCCTCGTGGGAGAGTGTAGGATCAAAGGGCAGAGTCTCAGAATAAAGGAGCACTGATTTAAGACTGAGATGAGGAAGCATGTCTTCGGAAGGTTGTGTGTCTTTGGAAATTCTTGCCACAGACATGTGGGGTCTGAGTCCTTGTGTATATTTAAGGTTGAGACAAATTCTTGATCATTAAGGGAATTGAGGGTTTGTCAGCAAAACGGATGTATGGAATGTCAGATTAGCCACGATCCTGTTGAATTGCAGAGCAGGCTAGAGGGCTGAATGGCCTGCTCCGGCTCCTGTTCCTATTTCTTATGAGCTTGGTAGACAAAGATCTTGTAAAGTTGTAAATTGTTCAATCTGGTATTGCGTTCAGTGTAGACAAGTGAAAAATGATGTGCCTCGAAATAAAGTAATGCTAAAACTTGAAGGGAAGTTCAGACAGACTTGGAGTTGCCATATGATTTACTGCTCATTATACCCAAACAATGAGAACAGAAACACTGCACTTATGTAGTGCCTTTCAAAATTACACGATGCCCAAACCGCTGTATTCCAGTTAAATATTTTTGAAGCAGAGTCACTGTTGTAATGTAGGAAATGTAGCAGTCAGATCGTGCTTGGTGAGTTCCTTCGATCAGTAGTGTCATATAGACCAGACAATCTGTTTTTCTGATATTGACTAGGGCACTGAAATAAAAGCAGTGTAATTTGGATGCTGGAGATATGAACTAAAAACAGGAAGTGCTGGAGTCACTCGGCAAATGTGGCAGAATCTGTGGAGAGAGAAATAGAGCTGAAGATTTGAGACCTGTATGGCACTTCAAGTTCCAAAGAGGAGCCATATTGGACTCGATGTTAATTCTATTTTCCTCTGCACAGATGCTGCCACTACTGCTGAGTTTCTCCAGCACTTCCTCTTTTTACATCAGCCAGGATGTCATGAATAACTTCCATACTCTTCTTTGAAATACTGCAATGAGATATTCATGCTTATGTTAGAGAGTCTGTGAGGCCTTGGATTAACACATCACACAAATGGCAGGACCCCATAGGGGCTGAACTGGCGTAATAACCTAGATTTTAGTGCTTGTGTCTCTGTAATGGGACTTGAACCCAAAACATACTGTATTGGGCAAAAAATGCTATACACAAGTGACACACACAAGTTGGAGATAGAAGTGAACATGATACTGAAGCAGGTTGCTTGTTTAAGTTTATAAATCAAAGGTCAGTGTTGAACATATACAGTGTTTTGCTTAAACTGTGGCTGTAACAGGCATTAAAGGAGGCTGGTAGTGTAGGGATAATGTTACTGGATTCATAATCTAGAGGCCCAGACCAGTACTTTAAGCATACTGATTCAAATCCCACCATTTAAATTATATTGAATCTGGAGTTGAAAGCTAGTCCCAGTAAAAGTGAACGTGGAACTATCTTCAAATTATTGTGAAAACTCCTCTCGTTCACTACCGTCTTTTAGGGAATCTGTCACCCTTACCTGGTCTAGGTAAGCCACTCCCCCATAAAAAGCATTTAAGTATTTAACAGCTGTCTGAAATGGCTGAGCAAATTATCCTGTTTAAGGGTCAACTGATGATGGGGGGTCAAATGCTGAACTTGCTGAAGATGCCCATATCCTGCGAAAGAATAAAGATAAAAGAATGCTGGTAATTGTAACATGGAAATTATTCGGACCTAGAGGGAAATGATGCTCATCCTCATATGCAAAGGATGAATGATGATGGGTCATTTAACTTTTTTTAAACTTTGAGAAGTGTGAGGCATTTAAGATAATTGTAGAGAAAAAAAAACACCAGCACCAAGATATAGTTGGGCAGTGGGACTGTTTTAATGTTGTAGACAAGTGCCTGGTAGTAGTTCTTTATACAGCTTATGATTAACAGCTGACCTTGTTGCCAGGAACAAAGTTAGCTTGCAGCTCATTTTAAAAAGTCCCCTGATTATGTCATTATCTTATGGTTGTTATCCTGGAAGCCTGAGGTCAAATGGATCAAAGATACAGCTGAATAAAAGCCTATCTTGTGGGATCAAGTCTTTGAGTAGTTTGTTAGTTCATTTAATTGGCAATTGTTGTGAATAGAGGGTTGTTTTGTAGCATGGCAGATTTCAGGTTCAGCCTTCCGTCCATAAATCATCCAGAGGCATTGAAGGTAGCTCTGTGCAAGGCAGATTGAAGTAGTAAATGGCTTAGGTTTCATTTTTTTATGCCTATTTTCGGAGGAAAAGAATTACTGTTTTTGTTACTTGTATGAAATGTGTCTTTGAGATTAATATCCAGTGTTTAATACCTTGTTTCTTCCATTTGGTGCAAAAGCTTCAACAGTCAGTGTGAAGCCTGTGTCTAACACTGGATCCCTGCAACGTTCTCGCAGTGATATTGATGTGAATGCAGCTGCTAATGCCAAGTCACGCTTGACTGCTACTCCAAGTAATACACCTGGACATTTCAGCTCAGCGGCAGCCCTACCTCCAGGGTCCTACGCTTCACTAGGTAAGAAGTGCAATGACATCTTTTTTTGTTGAACTGCCTTACGTACCACAAGTCTGTAATAGGACCATCGTTGTGGGTCACCTAGGATTTTAAGTGCAGTGAAAGAGATGTTCTATTCTGAATTTGAAAACTCTGTTCACAATCTAAGTTAGAAATGTTGACACCTTTTTTGGATAGTTTTTAATTAGGATCTGTTTCTGAATCAGGTGACCAGAGACAAGTGGAACCTCATGCCTAATTAAGTTATTTTTGTGTTGTGCTTAACAACTAGAACAAGCTTACCTATTGGTCGACTTTGAAATAGAAGTTTCTGTTGAGTTGTCAGAAGAACGAAGTACAGCATAATATGCTCCATGGGTTTGAGATACTTTAGCTATCCGAACAAAACACAGTTGCTAATGTACAGAAAAGGCTGATGGAATTCTAGGAATTTGCCACAAACAAAATAATGTTGAGCAGTTTTAGCTCCAATATGATATGACAATGTGAAAGCCATTAAATAGATGGACAAGTATTATAAAGCTGCATTTAGATTGTACTCTGAAAAAATAGTTTGTGGGTAGCAGAATGTAATTGAATTAATTAAAATTCGAATGCTCTATCTATGTTAGAATAGAGTTGGATCCTTTAAAGAGCAGAAATAGGTCATTTGGCCTTACAAGCCTGCTCTGCTATTCAATATGATCATGGCTGATCTGCTACTCTTTTAGTCATTTCAAACTTTTCCCATATTCCTTGATTCCTATAGAGGGTGCAATTTATTGATCTCGCTCTTAAATATATACAATTATTATCTATAATCCCTCTAGGTTAGAGAATTCCGAACATTCTCAGCCTCCTGGTAAATAAATATTTCTATGTCATCATAAATGGCTTTTTTTGCCCCCCTTAGACTATTACCCAGTGTTCCAGATTTCCCAGCCAGGGAAATCGTTCCCTCTGGATCCACACTGACAAACTCTTAAGAATTTTCTATATTTCAATGAGATCTTCTCTCGTCTTTCTTGCACTACTTAACCTGTCCTCATAGAACACACTATCATCCGAGATCAGTCCAATGAACCTTAGTTGCGCTCCCTCTGAGATAAGTATATTCTTTCTTGGGTAAGGAAACCAAGCTGTACACATTGCACCAGGTGCGGTTTCAGAAAATTCTTGTATGATTGCAGTAGAGTTTTACATTTTTTACTCCAATCTCTCTCTTTGTAATAAATTCTAAAAGGATGTTCTCCAGATAATAGAATACAGTGTTGGATCATTATCTATTTGAAAGACAGTTTTCAAAATTTCTAGAAAATAACAAGAATCTGACAGCCCACAATATTTACTATTAAACTTGGCCAATCTTTAAGGAAAAATTCATTTGAAAGTTAACTTTTGTCACCAAAGCCTTGGATCTCTTTTGACTTTCTTATTTTTAATCAAGTAAGGTATATAATTATCATAACTATGTAATAACATTATCAATATACAGAATGTGGATTTTCTTTTACCTTTATTATCTAATCTAGTTTTTTTTGTTTTAATGCCCATATTTTATGCCTTTAATAGACTCTACGTGGAGCTGTAAATGTCTCTACGTTCACAACTCCACAGATTCTCTAGTTTACTATAGGCTAAAATAATGAACCCATCTTTGCTAACCATACTAACATTTCCCTGTCCTCCCTATCTTCTTTTGCTGAAAGATGGCACATCCACTAAAGCTGAGGGTAAGCAGCTTGTTTTCTGTTACCAGCTGTCTGTCCCATCTTGTGTATTCTGGCTGGTATCTGTGACAACACTGTTCTTCCAGTGGTTTCCATCTGTGACCATAATTGGTACCTCGCATGAAGTGTTGCATGGTGATGCAGTGTTTGTATATATATATATATTTATATATGTATGTATATAAATAGATATATATTTCCTCAGCTAAACTTAACATAGCTGTGTTGATCCAAGTACATTATATCTACAATCTGGGTTCTTTGAGTTCATACTGCAACGTTTGGCCTCTGCAAAGAAATATATTATTTTGAGTAATAAGTGATGGCAGAGTAGTTTTTCAGAGATAAAAGATGCCATCTTCTGAGTGCGCCAGATTGAAGTTCTCTTCTGCTTGCAGAGTAATCGTTTTTGAGAATCTATAAGCAAATTAGCAAAGGATAAAATGGTCCTGGATTCTTACCAGCATCAAAGCTAACACCAATCTTTTAGACTTATTTACAGCATAATTTAAAAGTAAAGGCACAACTAACAATAGTGTACATTCTCAGTGCAACAGTGAACAGCAGTAAAATCTGTCACATGAAGATCTAGATATTTCCTCTATTTATAGGTCTCATCAGACAGACTTAATTGCATGTATTCTAAGTTGTAATCACAGCAAATATTCCTTTTAAGCGCCATTCTTTTAACCTATTTTTGAATAAATGTGTAAGGTGAATTAGATGAAAACAGCAAACAAAACGTCTAATACAAAAAGCTGTGGTATTTGTTCAAGAAATCAGATTTTAGATAACAAAATAAAGTTGGTAAGTTTCTAAGACCAGATCTCTGATAATTCTGTTGAGTTATTTCATTGTTTTCTTTGTTGTATTGTGCTTCTCCTGTACTGTTCAATTTTGCAATAGTGACTTATTTTCCAACGTGACAGAACTGACAACTTCAATTGTTTACTTCATCTTAAGGGGTTTCTACAAAGAAGGATGGTAAGAGAGTTGTGCAGGCTTTGTGCTTATGTTGTGAGTTTAGGCTGCGGGAAAGGGCATCCCATTCTATGTGCTGAACTTGTGTACTTGGGCCTGTGTCCATCTGTGAGAAAAAATTTCCATTACTTGTGACATAATTTACAGCAAAATTAATTTTTGACACTGTGGCTGTGTATTATTTGCGTTGTGTTGGATTATGCAAAAACAAATAGGCAGTGTGACTAGTAATGTCAGTTTGTGCTGCTCACTTGTAACTATCAGTAGTTGGCCTCGTTATGCCCAAGCTTCAGTTCTGTGCAGTATTTGGCAATTTGCTGAGTGCATGTTGTTACAACATGATTGTCAATAAAAGCTTCAAATTCGAAAACAGCGATAATAAAACGATTATTCTCTAGTTAAGTAATTCAGTAACATGTAGCAGCCCTTTGCTTTCCATTATTTATTTATACTTATTTTGCTCTTTCAACTAGGGTTATATGTAACTAACTTCTGAGCTGCTTCTGTGCAACATGACTATCTACAGTGATGATAATTCTGAATTGAATTCTGTATTGTTTTACATATTTACAGGGTTTCCAATACTATAAACCTTAGCAATATTTATCATTTATTTCAGAAAATTACCTTGGAGTTGTAGCTGAGAGACTTTTAAACATTATAGATGGAAACACAAGAGAGAATTCATCTTTTATGGTGTTCTTAAATTCTAAAGATATAGGTAGCAGCCGATAGCTCTTATAATGGTGATTATAGCCTGTTTGTACATGTTGTAGCAATACTTGGATTGAAGAAACTGTCTTAGCTCCAATGTCACAAATACATTCCATTGTACTGTTGCAATATTTCCATTTTCTAAACCAGCCATTTCTTTGTGTCTTTCTGTTTTGCCTTCATTCTTTTTCCTAACTGTGCTGGAATAGTTTGAACAATGTAGACCAATGGTACTTTAGTCAAATCTCTACAGGTGGGATCCTAGTCAGAGGACATTACTGTTGACTTTTTTCCCTCTCAATTTCACCATTTGCATATTTGCACTGCAGAGTGTCACTCGGGACTAACTGGCATAAAAATAGAGATTGCTATAAAAGCTCAGCAGTCTGGCAGCATCTGTGGAGAAAAATCAGAGTTAACATATCTGGTCCGGTGACCCTTCCTCAGAACTAATGGTAGCTAGGCAAATGTCTGTTTATGTACAGAAGTTCGGATCGGGGAACGGGGTAAGGATTAAATGATAGGTGGGGATCGACCCCAATTGGAGAGAAGAACAGCTGGACATACAAAGGAATGGATAATGATCTGGCTGGAGCAAAGGCCTGAACCGTCCCCACCCACCACCACCTTCTTCTGCCCTCCTCCGCTTGGCTGAGCTCGTCCTCACCATGACCAACTTCTCTTTTAATTCCTCTCATTTTCTTCAGGTGAGAGGGGTGGGCCATGGGTACCTGCATGGGCCGCAGTTATGCCACTTGGGGTATGTGGAACATTTCTTGTTCCAATCCTACTCCAGCCTTCATCCACAACTCTTCCTCCGATTATATTGATGATACCATTGGTGCTGCTTCCCTCTTACGTCTGGAATTGGAAAAGTTCATCGGTTTTTGCTTCTAATTTCTACCCCGCCCTCACTTTCACCTGGTCTGTCTCTGACTCCTGTCTTCCCTTCCTCTATGTCTGTTTCCATTTCTGGGGATAGACTGGCCACTAATATCCACTGTAAAACCTACCGACTACCGCATATGTTCAACAAGGGAACCTCCGAATTAGCCATCATCTTTCTCAATCGAGGATTCCCCAGCACCATAGTTGACAAGGCTCTTAACTGGGTCCGACACGTCTCCCACATGTCCACCCTCCCCTTTCCCTCCGCAACAGCGATAGGAGCCCCTTTGTCTTTATCTACCATCCCACCAGCATCCACCTCCAGAAGGTCATCAGCTGCCATTTCCACCACCTCCAGTGCGATGCCACCACCAGACACCTATTCCCCTCCCCTCCCTTATCCACCTTCCACAGGGGCTGTTCCCTCCAAGATGCTCTGGTTCACTCCCAACAGCCTCTCCACTGCACCTTCCCCTGCAACTGCCAAAGGTGTAACACCTGCCCATTTACCTCCTCCCTCCTTAGTATCCAAGGACCCAAACGTACCTTCCAGGTGAAGCAGCACTTTACCTGCACTTCCCACAATCTAGTCTACTGATTTGCTGCTCACAATGTGGTCTCCTCTACATTGGCAAAATGAAGCGTAGACTGGGTGACCACTTTGCGGAACATCTATGTTCTGCCTGCAGAAAGGACCCTGAGCTTCCAGTTGCCTGCCACTTTAACACACCGCTCTGTTCTGTGGCCAGAATCTCTGTCTCAGGCTTGCTGCAGTGTTTCGGCAAGCCTCAGCACAAGCTGGAAGAACAATACCTCATTTTCCACTTGGGGACCCTGAAGCCCTCCAAGCTTCGATCAGTAATTTTAGGGCCTGAACTCTCCCATGTCCTAGCCCCCAACCCCACGTACCAGATAACAAGGTGTACAGCTGGATGAACACAGCAGGCCAAGCAGCATCAGAGGATCAGGAAGGCTGACGTTTTGGGCCTAGACCCTTCTTCAGAAAATTGAAATTGAAAATTCAGAACATTGAAATCTCTCT